GATGTATCCCCAAGACCATCAGCCACCAAGCATGCAACATATGTAGGCATATGATTATATACACATATGAGTTTTGATAGGTGGACATTTTAATCAAGCCTTATGTAATTTCTAACTAGAAATTTGTCATACCTGCGTTCATGTAAAAAAATATAAAATCAGCTTATGAATACTCATATTAAGTGAAGATGGCACAAGCACTGTCTTCCATGGATCCTCAAAGAGGCTGCACTGATTAAAATTAATTTTAAAAACATCTGTGAGTTATAGAAGTTTTAATCTGCAGAGCGGGGGATTATTTTTCTTCGTCAGGTAAAAATCATGCCTCTCTCCAGTTGTCAGAAGGAACAGACAGTGCACAGCACAGTAAAAATCAGCACAAACCGCAGCCTGATTGCCAGCCCAACCCCAGGAACTGTCACTGTCTCTGTGACTTTGAACACGTTTCTTTCATTTTTGAGTAATGACTTCATTGAGATATAATTCATGTGTCATAAAACTCTCCCTCTTGAAGTATACAATTCAGTAGTTTTGTTATACACACAGAGTTGTAAAACCATCACTACTAATTCCAGGTCATTTTCATAGCTCCTGAAAAAAACCTGTCCCATGTAGCAGCAGTCACTCTCCATTTCTGCTATCCCCCAACCCCTGCAACCACTAATCTCCTTTCTGTCTATACAGATTCGGTTATTCCGAAGTTCACATATAAGTGGTATCATACAATATCATTCTGGGTCTGGCTTTTTTCACTTAGTATGAGGTTTTCAGAGTTCATTCGTATTCTAGCCTGTATCAGAATTGTATTCCTTTGTACGGCTAAATACTATCTCATTGTATGGATGGAGCACCCTTTGATTATCCAGGACATTGTGGGTTTTTTACACATTTTGGCCATTGTTAATAATGCTGCTATAAAAATTTGTGTGCAAGTTTTGTGTGAAAACGTTTTTGATTCTCCTATATTGCTAGGTTAGGGGTGTTTCTCACTCTCTGAGAACCTCCATTTCCCCATCTATAATGGGGCACAGTAGCAGTGACTACTTCATGAGGTTGTTGTGAAGATTAATGCATTAAATCTATAGAAAGCATTTTAGGACCTTTTTCTATGTTGGTTATCATTGCAGCATTTTCTTCCCAGCAGGTCTAGCATGAAGCTCCTCCACTTCATACACTCGTGCCTCTCCCCATCAGCACACACCAGCCACATCGACTACTGGCTCCTTGAACTTTCCAGTTGTTTCTAGTCACTGGGCTCTTTTGTTATTTCCTTGTCCTGAAACTTTTTTTTTTTTTTTTTGAAATGGAGTCTAGCTCTGTTACCCAGACTGGAGTACAGACAATCTCAGCTCACTACAACCTCAGCTTCCCAGGTTCAAGTGATTCTCCCGCCTCATCCTCCCTAGTAGCTGGGACTATAGGCATGTACCACCATGCCCAGCCAATTTTGTATTTTTAGTAAAGACAGGTTTCACTGTTTTAGCCAGGATGGTCTCGATCTCCTGACCTCATGATCCGCCCGCCTCAGCCTGAAACACCTGAGCCACCGCACCTGGCCTGAAACATCTTTTTTACTGCTCTATCTTTTACTGCTCTATTCTATTTTACTGCTCTATTCTTGGCTGGATTTTCTCATCCTTTAAGTCTCAGACTAAAGACACTAACTGCCTTCAAGATGGGCCCATCTCTTAGCACCCTGAGAACAACAGGCTTGTCTTTCTTGTTCTTTGTCTGATTCTTTTCACTATAGCCCCATAAGGGCTGTCATATTCATTTCACCTGTTCTCCTGTTTATTGCCCAGCTCTCCACTGCACCAGAAGCATCAGAAGTTAAAATACATGCCTTTCTCACTATCATGATTTTAGCCAAGATGAAGATGCTTATTTCAAGAAATATTTGTTTAATGAGTAAATTAGTGAATTAAAAATTTTAGTGGCTGGGTGCAGTGGCTCATGCCTGTAACCCAGCACTTTGGGAGGCCTAGGCAGGTGGATCAGGAGGTCAGAAGTTCAATACCAGCCTGGCCAACATGGTGAAACCCCATCTTTACTAAAAGTACAAAAATTAGCTGGGTGTGGTAGTGGGGTGCCTGTAGTCCCAGATACTCAGGAGGCTGAGGCAGGAGAATCACTTGAACCCGGGAGGCAGGGGTTGCAGTGACCAGAGATCATGCCATTGCATTGCAGCCTGGGTGACAAGAGCAAGACTCTGTCTCAAAAAAAATAGTGCTACATAATATTTTGTTAAATATAAGGTCTTACAATTTTAACAATTTCACATTTGTTGATTTTTGTTGATTTTGATTTTATTATAACTATAACAAAGTATTTTGAATGGGTCTGTTCTGAGAGTCATAGAGGTCTGTGCACAGACTTGGGAAACACACACACACTTCAGTGATTCACAGAGAGGTGAAAGAAAGAGAAAAAGTCTAAGCTTATGCAGCATGGCAGGTGCGGGCTATGGGTTCCCTGCACCTCAGGACAAGCTGGTCATGGGACCCACAAACTTGTGGGACCTCAGAGAAGTTTCAGGTACACTTGCAAGGCCTATTAGAATTTCTGAGAAATAAATGAGTCACCCTAGAATATTGGCTAGTATTATTATATTAATGTTAAGCCCCATGGATCTATACTAATGCTAAGTTAACAATACCATCTTGGAGAGATCCAAGATGGCTGATCTCTAACAGCTCAGGATTGTAGCTCCCAGTGAAAGCGCAGAGAACGAGAGGATGCCACACTTTCAGATGAATTTTCGTAGCTCACGGACTACAAGATTCACAGTGGAGGAGCCCCACGGGTCACCAGCGTGACTCTTGTGGCCGGTGCAGTGGTTTTGCAGGCGCCTCAGCGCAGCAGCTCTTTGTGCAGAGTAAAGGGACTGGTTCCCCTACTGACCAATGCTTGGAGCTCTGGGAAGGCAGAGCCACTTGTTATGGACCCAAGAAGGAAGCCAGACCAGAGATTCCCAGGCAGAAGAGCACCATCAGTCTTATCACTGCTGTTTTGGCCAGCGCAGTGGGTTGCTCGGATTCCAGTGCTGGGAATCAATAAATTGGATGTCCACTTAGAAACCTAATTAGAAAGGCAGTAATTGTAAAGACGATAGATGAATAAATTCATAATAAAGGAAAGAAACCAGCCTAAAAAGGCCGAGAATACCCCAAATCAGAACCCCTCTCCCTCTACGGGGGATTGCAGTTCCTCATCAGCAATGGAACAAGCCCTGATGGAAAAGGACTGTGTGCCATTAACAGAAGTAGGCTTTAGAAGGTGGATGACAAGAAACTTCTGGGAGTTAAAAGAACTTGTTCTAACCCAATGTAAAGAAACTAAGAACTTTGAAAAAAGGTTTGACGAAATGCTAACAAGAATAAACAATATAGAGAGGAATATAAATGAACTAATGGAGTTGAAAAATACAACACGAGAACTTAGTGAAATATGCACAAGTTTGAATAGCCAAATTGATCAAGCAGAAGAAAGGATATCAGAGGTCGAAGACAAGAATAGAGAAAAAAGGATAAAAAGGAATGAGCAAAGTCTCCAAGAAATATGGGACTTTGTGAAAACATCTAATCTACGTTTGATAGGTATACCTGAATGTGACAGAGAGAATGAATACAAGCTGGAAAATACTCTTCAGAATATTATCCAGGAAAATGTTCCCAATCTAACAAAGCAGGACACTATTCAACCCCACGTAATACAGAGAACACCACAGAGATATTCCTCAAGAAGAGCAACCCCAAGGCACATAATCGTTAGATTCACCAGGGTTGAAACAAAGGAGAAAATACTAAGGGCAGCCAGAGAGAAAAGTCAGGTTACCCAGAAAGGGAAGCCTATTAGACTTACAGCAGATCTCTCAGCAGAAGCTCTACAAGCCATAGGAGAATGGGGGTCGAAATTTAACATCCTTAAAGAACAGAACCTTCAGCCCAGAATTTCATATCCAACCAAACTAAGCTTCACAATTGAAGGAAAAATAAAATCTTTTATAAACAAGCAAGTACTCAGATATTTTATTACCACCAGGCCTGCTTTACAAGAGCTTCTGAAAGAGGCATTACACACAGAAAGAAACAACCAGTATTAGCCTTTCTAAAAATATACGAAAAAGTAAAGAACATCAACATAAAGAAGAATTTACATCAACGAATGGATAAAATAGCCAGTTAACATCAAATGGCAGTAACCCTAAATTTAAATCGACTAAATCCCCCAATCAAAAGATACAGCCACTACGTCCAGACCCATTTTATATCCAAAGATACACAAAGACTGAAAACAAAGGGTTGGAGAAAGATTTACCAACCAAATGGAGAGCAAAAATAAATAAATAAACAAAAAGCAGGAGCTGCAATTCTCGCATTTGATAAAATAGATACAGTGGTAAAAGGATCAATGCAACAATAAGAGCTAACGATCCTAACACCCAGATACATAAGACACATAAAGAGATTTAGACTCAACGAGACAGAAAATTAATAAGGATATCCAGGACTTGAACTCAGATCTGGAACAAGTAAACTTAATAAATATTTATAGAGCTCTCCACTTTAAATACACAAAATATTGATCGGCCATTATTAATACCCATTTTTAGAATAAAGCAATATTCCTGTTCTCTCTCCCTCTTTTTCTTCCTCTTTCTTCCTCTCCTTCTCTCCTTTTTTTTTCTTTCAAAAAAAAAATACCGAATTAATGGCTTTTCTCTTTTTTAATATAAATATTGTCTATATATGGAATAAGTTTTAGAAAAGTGAATTTCAAATATTTTTGAGTAGAATTCAGAGTAAGAAATGCATCTTATGAGTACATGCAAATAATTCACGTGACATTTCAAAGATCTAAATTTATCTTAGTACCTATAATAAGGTAATAAGGTATTCTTATTCTCTGAGCTTTTCTATTCTATTCTATTCCATCCTATCCTTTTTTTTTTTTTTTTTTTTTTTTTTTTTTTTTTTTTTTTTTGAGGTAAGGCTCTGCTTTGTCACCCAGGCTGGTGTGCAGTAACACAGTTATAGCTTACTGCAGCCTCAACCTACTGGGCTCAAATGATGCTTCTGCCTCAGCCTCCCAAGTAGCTGGGACTGCAGGGGCACACCACCATGCCTGTCTAATGTTTCAAATTTGTTTTGTAAAGACAGGGTCTCACTATGTTGCCCAGGCTGATCTCTAACTCCTGGGCTCAAGAAATCCTCCTTCCTTGACCTCCTAAAGTGCTGGGATTACAGGTGTCAGCCACCATGCCCACTATATATTTTTTTTCTTTTAATGTGAGTTACAGCATTTGTTTCATAACACAAATGCATCATGATTTTCAGCTTATTAAAACACTGCCTTGAAGATGGATTCCAGCCTAGAAGCTGCACAGCCCTTTGCATAAACACACCTAAAAGCAGCCTCCTTGCTGAGGGGTCCAATAAGAGCCCTCCTGGTGATGGTTTGGTGCACACACTACCCTAAAAATAAACTATTTTCCTGATCCCTTTCCAGTCTTGTTGATTATACAGTAAAGTCTCCCTTTGAAACACACCACCTGGGGGCTGGGTGCAGTGGCTCACGCCTGTAATACCAGTGTTTGGGGAGGCCCAGGTGGGTAGATCACCTGAGGTCAGGAGTTTGAGACCAGCCTGGCCAATATGGGGAAACCTCATCTCTACTAAAAACACAAAATTAGCCGGGCATGGTGGCAGGCGCCTGTAGTCATAGCTACTAGGAAGGCTGAGGCGGGAGAATCGCTTGATCCTGAAAGGTGGAGTTGCAGGAGGTTGTGCCACTGCACTCCAGCCTGGGTGACAGAGCAAGACTCCATCTCAAAAGAAAAAAGGGGGGGGTGCTGGGCGCGGTGGCTCAAGCCTGTAATCCCAGCACTTTGGGAGGCCGAGGCGGGTGGATCACGAGGTGAAGAGATCGAGACCATCCTGGTCAACGTGGTGAAACCCCGTCTCTACTAAAAATACAAAAAATTAGCTGGGCACTATGGTGCGTGCCTATAATCCCAGCTACTCAGGAGGCTGAGGCAGGAGAATTGCCTGATCCCAGGAGGCGGAGGTTGCGGTGAGCCGAGATCGCGCCATTGCACTCCAGCCTGGGTAACAAGAGCGAAACTCCGTCTCAAAAAAAAAATAAATAAATACCACCTGTGAGGCTAGCTTTCTAGAGCCTTCAGATTGTGCCTGTCTCATTAATAATGCTATAGCAAAAGCAAGTTTCAGAATTAGAAATAACACAAAGAAATGAAATGATTTGTACACAACATTTACAATTTATAACATTAGGAGAAAGAATCGACAGTATTAACTAAAGATCTGAACCAATTTTAATGTGATCAATAAAATTTCATTCGCTGATGAGCTGCTGTTCCCCTCATCCTTCACCACTCACCAGTACGATTGCCCCTCCAAAAAAAGAATGGAAGAAAGGCACAAAAACCCTGCTAAGTAGGGTGCAACATGCCTAGTTCCTATGAAGCCTGCCGTTCAGAGAGCAAAGCCTCCCTGGTCATTCCCTCTCTCTCCAGGTGGAGTAAGGCCATGGTTCAGAGGAAACTGTAGCAGCCTCTCTGGGGGCAGTCACACCGTGAAGTCCCTTCCTGCTGGCGATTCCCAGCCTGAATCTGCTATTCCAGTGGCTTGATGGGAAGCAGGAACCACCGTGTAAACATGTCCTTAAAAAATAGGAGAGGCGACTAAAAGACAGCCAGGAAAGACAGACATGGAGACAGTGTGAGTGATAAGAACTCTGAACTCTTTTATGTCTTTTAACTTCGACAACTTTTCTGTACACTCTGTCCCAGGTGGCTGGGCAAATACTTGAGCCTTGAAATGAAATCGTGGAGTATTCGGTAACTCGCACCAGCTGAATCAGCCATGACTTGTGTAATCAGCTTTAGCCCTAGGCATTTCAGAATTTCAAGATCTTTATTGCAGCAGCCGTCCTTACAGTTTACCTCCTCAGTTATTTGTGTTTTCTTTACATTTTGTGAACACTTTTTATAAAAGGAGGAATACGTGAACACCTGAGTCAGGGAATAGAGCTAGAATCGTATGTTTTTTGTTATATGTAAATGATCATATACTTTGTTTTGCATTTTTGTTTTCAAAATTATTTTTCAAGTGGTATTTCAGACAGATGAGATAGTATTTAATTGCTGTTTAACAAACACCGTTGCTGTGTGAGATATCCCAGGAAACTTGTAATCATGCAAACACTGTTTCTGAAGTTTTTAAAAATAAAATTTACCTTCGTACTTGTTTAGCAGTTACCAATATGTGGGCAAAGGGCTCACACAGAAAATCTATTAAAGAAGAACTAAATACATTGAACAAAATTATACAGTAGAATCAGCTTTTCAACAATGTGACTACTCCAAACCTGAATATTACTAAATATATTATTTTGCTAAGCTTGCTCCATATATTTCAGTTTTTTAAAAAATAAGTTTCTCTAGGGACTTCTGTGAGTAAGAATAGTTTTGTATGTTTCTTTAACATTTTCATTTATTTTTTTATGTTCAAATGCTCTGACCATTTTTCTTCTAGTTGTCTATATTGTTATTTTTAAAATGTATTAGTTCTTTAGATATCCGAAGTTAATCATATCCGGTAAATATATTATAGATACAATTCCTAATTTATACCATTATTTTAACTTTATTGATTCATTTTATGAAAATGTTTAGTAACAACTTTTACACCTCATTAATTACTAAGTAGGAATATTCTTCCTCATCTCTAATATAAAGTCTTGTATAATTCTTAAAACTGTTTTTGCGGTCGCATTATGCTTAGCTCTGTATTTCATCAGGATTTTATTTTTCTAAGACATTGGGTAGGAACCTAAATTACTTTTCCTGAAACAGGAAAGCATCGTTTATTGAACCGTCATCAGTCCGTTCACACCCTATTTCCCACTGATTTGAATATTGTCTTAATTGTGTGCTAAATTTATGAGTATGTGGATCTGCTGAATTCTGTGATATTAACCAGGGTATCAGATCCATATTGACATAATACTGTTTCAATTATAAGTTAGGATATGTAGCAAATCAATCATCCCTCACTATTCTTTTTGTATTCTTAAAGTAGTGCCGGATTGCAAGAATAAATATATCTCAAAATTTCAGTGTCTGAACCAAACGGAAGTTTGTTTCTCATCCGCGTAACCAAGGCAAACGCTCCTGACTGGCAGGTCGCTCCGTCCAGGCAGTAAATGTGCAGCCCAGGTTCCCTGCATCTTGTGGCTCCAATCACTTTGGATCTCATCATTGCTGCATATTGCCATACATAGCGAAGGAGAGAAGATGGAGAAGGCAAAGACTTTCTAAAAGACCTGGCTAAATCTGGCATTCATCACATCATCTCGCATTCCATGGGTGAGAACGTGGAATACATAAGGCAAAGAGAAACCCAGCTTCTGAGATTTTTCTTCTCTGCTTAATTTACGATGTCCATGGTATTTTAGTCAGAGGAATCTTCTCTATCACAACCTGCACAGCAGTTGCTTCTTATCCTTTAAGTATACTCCCTTTCTTTTGATTAGAATTGAATTAATTAATGGTTACTACTACCAGAACCCCTAAATAATAAATAATTTGATGGAAGGGAAAAATGCAAATGACAGACAGCAAAAGTTAAAAACAAAAATAAGAATGAAAGGAAAGAAAGAAAAAGAAGAAAGAAAGAGAGAGAGGGAGGGAGAGAAAGAAAAAAGGAAGGGAGGAAGGGAAGAACAAAGGAAGGAAGGAAGGAAGGAAGGAAGGAAGGAAGGAAGGAAGGAAGGAAGGAAGGAAGGAAGGAAGGAAGGGGGAGGGGAGGGGAGGGAGGGAGCAAGGAATTGTGTATGGTGGGATGAGAATTTGGGAGTCATAATTCTGTGGAACGCCAAAGCTACTGGTTAAAATGCCATCTGCTCCCTTATAGAACTCAAGTCACGAGCTGTCAGTGGTTAAACTTTGAGGAACGTGATATTTAATTACCAAGGTATTAGCATTCCAGGTCTCTCTTGTAGCTTGAATAACTACAAAGCACAGACACAGACATGGCCCACTATTGTCATCTGAGAGCAGGTGGTGTTTGAGTGTGAACTGGTGACTTGGGAAGAGGAGCCGTGTGGAACCCTATCTGTAAAGGTGTAGCATCTCCTGTAATCATGCACAAGGCAGAATGTGTCAGCTTCATTCTCCACGACCACTCCCTATCCCATTTCAACAATTTCTAAAGTTGATGGGTCTGTGAGGAAAATGTATGGTCTGGACAGATGGGATGAGCATATCTGGGAGGAGCCCCAACTCTCTGAGATTACACCTATAACTCACGTTGTGCTCCCAGCAACATTAGTGAGGTGTTTCTTCTCATTTTCAAGCCAATATAACTAGGACATAGGTGAGATAACAGGGACAGTTTTCTAAAGCAGACTAAAGATCCTCTCTGCTTGTTATTTCCTATCTGTGCTCTGAGAACCCAGGTTTCATTGGAGAGCTGGGCAGGTGGCAGATCTCATAGATTTAGTGACATCACAGGGTGGCTCTGCTCTGTTTAGCAAGCCTAAGAATTCACAGCACAAAACCCAAAGTGATTTTTTTTTTTTTGTTTTGCACTGATTATCAGTAGATTCCAAGTGAAACAAAATTAACTTAGTTGATTAGTTTTTCAAGGGTTTCGGTGACAGAACCCACCCCCTCCTCCATATGTATTGATGAAGAGCCCATAATTTTTTAGCCTCTGAGGATTTAGCCTCTGACAGGGGCAGGTGTAAGAATCAACGGGAAAGAGACATTTGTGTGGTGTCTCTAATGGTGTATTTTGAGGAAGTCAGAATTGGAGATCCCTAACCGCTCTTCCTCTTTTTAAAATTTCTGAGTTCAGTGGTCCTCTCAGTACTGAACAAGTAAAGGAAACTTCCCTTGCAAGGTAAAACCAGGTTAGCGAACTCAACACTTCTAGGAAACATGAACAAATGGGGTCCTAGTGTTTACCTTTCTAGCCTAATAAAGAATAATGTGTGCCCCAGGGAAGGAGGCCCTAGATGCTTATAAATAAGCCAAATAGAAGGTGAGATCCTCTTCTTTCCTGAGATTGAATGAACAGCTCAGATTCCACAGCCAGCCGCATAGTCCCAACCACCTGCTGCAAGCCAGAATGGCAGCAGAATATATAATTTAGGTAATGCCTAAAGGCATTAGAGGGAAAGCCAAAGAGACAGGGATAGTGAGAATTAGAACTATATAAATCATGAAGATATTTGATATAATTTTTTAATTGGAGAGGTAATTTAACCCTTCTCCCATTTAGAGAAAAGTACAGCTCACTGCCGGCACTCATTTAATTTTACATAAACACACTCTTCGAGGCTGAAGCCAATCTGACTGATTTTCAACGTGAAAATATAAAGACTGCTATTGAAGTTATTTCTAAACAGAACTAGCATCAGAATCGTCTGAATAATCAGAATCATCTATTTCAGAAAACTCAGATTCATCAGATAATCTTCGGCCAACGACTGTCCCAGAATGGTGTTAAGGTCACCCTTAGAAATGCTGTGTTTTCTGGGATTTGACATCTTCGGCGATCAAGAATTAGTATATTTTGTAAATGGAAAGACCACTCCTAAAAACAGAATGCTATAAATAAATGATGTCTTTTTTCCCCCAAAGTTGATATCCTAGAGCCGTGTGAAAATAATAAATGGAGATATTTTGTGGCAGTCATCTCGGGGGAAATGCTGCAGCGACAAGCCCCACCGGCAAGTATTCTCAAAGCCAGCCGGAGATGGGGTAAGTTACACAATCAATACATCTCCATCATCGTAGTTTAATTACTTTTCCACATCCCATGTATCCTGACAGGTAGAACGATTAGCCTGGGCCTCCGTTTTTCATTCTACAAAGAATGAGGTACATGAAATGTCCTCTATAGAATTGTGGGGGAAGCGGTTTTTATTGAGTTGTGGTTATCCTTGTTTTCGTGGTCTGATTACGGAAGTAAATGCTTTTCCGAATACCTAAAGATGGTCTGCCCTCGTCCAGCTCTCTGGAGTGTCTCCCTGGGTTTTTGCTCAGTAAATGGGAGGAACATTTGTAGCACGTCTGGTCTGCACCAGGAACTGAATCTAATTTCCATGTGTAACTGAATGTTAACGAAGACTTTGCGCAGCGAGTGTTACTACCTCTGGTTAATGATTCATTCATCTCAAGGCTCAGAAAACTGAAGTGTCTTGTCCGGGGACACTTAGTCAGAAGTGAATCCAAGGTTTAAGCTCAACTCAACTCTGTCTGACTCTAAATTTCACAGCCTTTTGCTACATATGGTGAATAATACATCCCTGAGCACTAAAGAGAGACTCCAAGGATCTTGTCTCTGCAGCCAGTGTTCTGGCCGTAATTTATGAAAAACAACCAAAAGGATGTGATGTAATAAAAAGTGTTACCTGTGAGTTAACCCTTCCAAGATTGGAACTGAATTCTGAGCTCTAAATATGGAATCAAAAGAACTTTTCTCTGCTCGAATCAGTTGGAACATCACTTTAAGAAAACAACGAAAAACTGGGGCTGCCAGAGAGAAAGCAATAGAAAGCATTATGCATAAAGTAATCCTTCCAAAAAATGAACTCAATCCGGTCAAATCTCTAGTTTTAACTCCTAGCTTACAGGAAATATGTAATGGGAAGGAAAAAACACAAAATGACACCACCACGATTCAGTCGGCCAAATCCAGAATATGAAAATTTTTACCAGACAAATGGTTTAGTTTCTTCCTCAAACAAACGGCACAAAGAAACAGAGGTAAGAACGGGATGCTGTTATAGATTGAAAATATTTAAGAATGTGTAAACGAAAGACCCTGTGCGCATGCTCTTTGAACATGATTCAGACATATCAAGGGGTCAGTGAGCATTTTTGAAACAATCAGGGAATTTGAACACTGAGTGGTTGTCAGAAGATATTAAGAAAGCATTATTGATTTTATTAGAAATAGCGATGCTATGGTTAGGTTTATTTTTTAAAAAGTGTTATTCTCTTTATAGATACGTTGTATAGCATTAACTAATGAAATGCTTTGATAGCTGGAATGTTTAAAAAATATTTCAGATGGAGTAGGTGCAAAGAAACAGCTAAGAAAAATGCTGACAATTGCCAAAACACATGATAGGTGCTTGGGGGTTCATTTACTATCTCTTCATTTTATATTTTGATATTTGTCAGAAATTCTCATAAAAAGGAAAGTTGTGTTTTATTTTCTTGTAAACTAGTAATGAAATATCCCTAAGTAAGTAATACTATAGAGACAAGAATAGGTGTAATAGAGCTTACGTTTTTCATTTAAAAAATGATCTGTAGACATCAATGGATCTTAGGTGGCATCCACGCAATAATATTTGCAAAAACACGCAGGGCAGGTGCGGGGCTCCATCTTCACCCAGTGACATTCTTCTGCTCCTCTGTTTGTCCTAAGAGTGGAGTGAGAGGATGATTGTTTTACATCATAGACTCCTTCTCTGCTGTACTTTTTCAAAATTTGGCTTTAAGTTCTGGGATACATGTGCTGATCATGCAGGTTTGTTACATAAGTACACCTGTGCCATAGCGATTTACTGCACCTATCAACCCATCATCTAGGTTTTCAGCCCTGTATGCATTAGGTATTTGACCTAATGCTCTCCCTCCCTCTTTCCCCTACCTCCTGACAGGCCCCAGTTTGTGATGTTCCCCTCCCTGTGTCCATGTGTTCTCATTGTTCAACACCCACTTATGAGTGAGAACATGTGGTGTTTGGTTTTCTGGTTCTGTGTTAGTTTGCTGATGATGATGGTTTCCAGGTTCATGAGTGCCATGTCCCTGCAGAAGACATGAACTCATCCTTTTTTATGGCTGCATAGTAGTATTTCGTGGTGTATATGTGCCATGTTTTGTTTATCCATCTGCCATTCATGGGCACTTAGGTTGGTTCCAAGTCTTTGCTGTTGAAAATAGTTCTGCAATGAACATATGTCTGCATGTGTCTTTATAGTAGAATGATTTATAATCCCCTTGGGTATATACCCAGTAATGGGATTGCTGGGTCAAATGGTATTTCTGGTTCTAGATCCTTGAGGAATCACCACACTATCTTCTACAATGGCTAAGCTAATTTACACTCCCACTAATAGTGTAAAAGGATTCCTATTTCTCCACATCCTCTCCAGCATCTCTTGTTTCCAGATTTTTAAATGATCACTATTCTAACTGGTGTGAGACGATATCTCATTGTGTTTTTGATTTGCATTTCTCCAATGACCAGTGATGATGAGCTTTTTTTTCATGTTTCTTGGCCGCATAATTTTTTTTTTTACTTTTATGTGGAAACAAATGTAACTGCAAAGAGAGATGAAAATTAATAACTTTAAAATAATTCCCTAAGTTTCTAAAAATATCTGTGTTTCCAACTGACCTTATTTTATTTAAGCTCTTGATTGATGCTGTTTTTAGAGCAGAATCATGAAGATGAATAGACTGAATCTGAGACAGATTTCTCTCATTCTAGTTTTCTACTACTTCTATCACAGAACTTATTTCATGCCCACCATGTTGGCAGGCACTGAGCTTGGTCCTGGAGCACAGAGCTGGATCAGACAGGCTTTGTGCAAATATTTCAGGGGTCTTTTTGTGAAGAGAAGGTAATATTTATAGATAAATAACAATAAAGAGTGATGGGTTCTTATGAAAATACACACATGGTGAAGTAGAGGACGAAAAGGAGGGATATGTTCTATGAGGAGGAAGAGTGATAAGAAAGTGTAGGGGGATGTGTCTGGGTCTAGGCATATGTGTGTTCACATATGTGCATGTTTATATGTACTGCATGTGTATATGTGTGGACATGCACCCGTTTGCATGTTCGTGTGTATGTGTCTGTGTTGAGGACTAAATTAATTGGGCTGACAGAAGCAGGGAGGCACTGATAGATTTATTTAGGGACTGACCTAATCTGATACTTTAGCTGGATTTCTCTGGGGGCTGTTTTGAGGGACAGTGCGGGGAAGAGCTAGAGGGAAAAAATGGAGGCATGTGTAAAGGAAGCAGCATTTGGCCAGGCATGGTGGCTCATGCCTGTAATCCCAGCACTTCAGGAGGCCAAGTTGGGTGGATCACGAGGTCAACAGATTGAGACCATTCTGTCCAACATGGTGAAACCCCGTCTCTACTGAAAATACAAAAAATTAGCTGGGCATTGTGGTGCACACCTGCAGTCCCGCATAGTCAGGAGGCTGAAGCAAGAGGATTGCTTGAACCCAGGAGTTGAGATCATGCCACTGCACTCAGGCCTGGCAACAGAGTGAGACTCCATCTCAAAATGAAGGAGAAGAGGGAGAGGAGAGGAAGAGGGGGAGGGGGGGAGGGGGAGGGAGAGGGAGAGGGAATCTCAGCCCAAGTGTCCCTTCAAGTAGTTTGTGCATAAACTCAAGCATTAAATTAGAACTAATTTCTTAGAAAAACTCACACAAACAGGCATTATTTAAAATTCTTTAAAGCAGGTTTAAACAGTTTCCAGGATTAAAAGCAGCCACTATGAGAGGGAATAAAGATACATTTGGCATAAATCTGGGGAGCCTCAATAGAACCTGCTGTACCCAAGCGTTGTCATTGCCACATCCATTCATTCACCAGCCCTTATATCGATGTGTTCTGGGTTCACTTCCCATGATCAATGCTGCATGTCTTTACCTGAGAGCTTGCTACTCAGATGTGCTCAGTCTTACCTGTGTGGCTGGGAGTTTGGGGATTTAATGTCAAGGGGAAAAACCTTCCATCAATGGATGATGAAAGTTAGTTTTCACATTTTCTGGTCTCCTTGGCCCTCATTGAAGGGCTTCAGGAGGTGAGATTCAGGCTCCTGCTGTCCTCTGAGTTTCCACAGCAGTTTTAAGCACCATTGCTTGTGGTGATGGCTGACCTTGATACTGCATTTTTTCTCCTTCAATCACTCGGGCTAGAGTGCAGTGGTACCATCCTGGCCCCTGCAACCTCCGCCTCCTAAGTTCAGGTGATTCTCCTGCCTCAGTCTCCCAAGTAGCTGGGAATACAGGCACCCACCACCACACCCAGCTAATTTTGGTATTTATAGTAGAAATGGGGTGTCACCATGTTGGCCAGGCTGGTCGCGACCTCCTGACCCCAGGTGATCCACCCACACTTTTAATTGTTTGCCTGCGCTTCCTAGTCTTGCTTTCTCAGTCTGTCCCTTACTGGTTGATATGGTTTGGCTGTGTCCCCACCCAAATCTCATCTAGACCTGTGATCCCACATGTCAAGTGAGGGACCTGGTGGGAAGGAATTGGATCAGGCAGACAGTTTTCCCTATGCTGTTCTCATGATAGTGAGTGACTTCTCGTGAGATCTGATGGTTTCATAAAGCAGTTTTCCCTACTCTTGCTCACTCTTCTCTCCCCTTCTGCCATGTGAATAAAATCCGTACTTCCACTTTACCTTCCACCATGATTCTAAGGTTCCCGAGGCCTCCCTTCAGCCATGTACAGCTGTAAGTCACTTAAACCTCTTTCCTTTATAAATTACCCAGCCTTGGGTGGTATATTTATAGCACTGTGAAAATGGACTAATACACTGGTTTATCCTCCATCCAAATCAACGACCTGCACTCCAATTCGTGTCTCAGGCTCTGCTTCTGACGGACCCCAACTAAGACAGCTAAATTAGAATGCATCACATACAGCAGTGAAATTCTAGAATGGGTGTTGTCAAGTGGTGATGATTGTTAGATCTATTAGTCTATATTCATG